ACGGGGGGGGGCCTTGGGGGGGACTGGGAGGGACTGGGAGGGACTGGAAGGGACTGGGAATGGACTGGGAATGGACTGGGAGGGGAACTGGGGGAACTGGGAGGGGACTGGGGGGGGTTGGGGGGAGCTGGGCTTTGCTGAGGTTAATTAATAATCGATTAATTAAACCCAGAGCTGGGCTTTGCTGAGGTTAATTAATAATTGACTAATTAAACCCAGAGCTGGGCTTTGCTGAGGTTAATTAATAATTGATTAATTAAACCCAGAGCTGGGCTTTGCTGAGGTTAATTAATAATCGATTAATTAAACCCAGAGCTGGGCCCTGCCCGGCCCAGAGGCCTTGCTGAGGTTAATTAATATATTAATTAACCCAAGAGCGGGGCTTTGCTGCGGTTAATTAATAATTGACTAATTAAACCCCGAGGCAGACGGCAGAGGCTCGTTAAGGCCGGGAGTTAATTGTTAGCCACGGGAATAACGAGGAAAGCCAATTAATGTTTGCTCAGCTGGGATCGCGATGGGAAAGGGAAAAAAACGATCAAAGGAACTCCCTTAATTAAATTTTAAATTAAAAACTCGTTAATTAGAGACGGGAAATTGGAGCCCGAGCGGGGGAGGGGGATCCTGTCCTCCCCTCCCCCACCCGTGAGACCACCCACCCACTGCCAACCGCTTAATTACCCTGTTAATTGCGCTTCGTTAATTGCTCTGTTAATTGCTCTTTGTTAATTAATTGCCCTGTTAATTGCGCTTCGTTAATTGCTCTGTTAATTGCTCTTTGTTAATTAATTGCCCTGTTAATTGCGCTTCGTTAATTGCTCTGTTAATTGCTCTTTGTTAATTAATTGCCCTGTTAATTGCGCTTCGTTAATTGCTCTGTTAATTGCTCTTTGTTAATTAATTGCCCTGTTAATTGCGCTTCGTTAATTGCTCTGTTAATTGCTCTTTGTTAATTAATTGCCCTGTTAATTGCGCTTCGTTAATTGCTCTGTTAATTGCTCTTTGTTAATTAATTGCCCTGTTAATTGCGCTTCGTTAATTGCTCTGTTAATTGCTCTTTGTTAATTAATTGCCCTGTTAATTGCGCTTCGTTAATTGCTCTGTTAATTGCTCTTTGTTAATTAATTGCCCTGTTAATTGCGCTTCGTTAATAGCTCTTTGTTAATTAATTGCCCTGTTAATTGCGCTTTGTTAACTGCTCTTTGTTAATTGCTCTTTGTTAATTAATTGCCCGGTTAATTGCGCTTCGTTACTTGCTCTTTGTTAATTAATTGCACTGTTAATTGCGCTTTGTTAATCGTCCTTTGTTAATTGCTCTTTGTTAATTAATTGCCCTGTTAATTGCGCTTCGTTAATTGTCCTTTGTTAATTGCTCTTTGTTAATTAATTGCCCTGTTAATTGCTCTTTGTTAACTGCTCTTTGTTAATTGCTCCTTGTTAATTGCTCTGTTAATTGCCCTTTGTTAATTGCTCTTTGTTAATTGCTCTGTTAATTAATTGCTTTGTTAATTGCGCTTTAGTTGGTCTTTGTTAATTGCTCTTTGTTAATTGCTCTTTGTTAATTGCTCTCTGTTAATTGCCCTGTTAATTGCTCTGTTAATTGCTCTCTGTTAATTAATTGCCCTTTGTTAATTAGCCAAAGGAGCGGGGAGTGGGCGAGACTGGGTGATGAGTGTCGGTGAACTGGGATGGACTGGGCTGGACTGGGATGGGACTGGGATGGACTGGGATGGACTGGGATGGACTGGGATGAACTGGGAGTGACTGGGCTGAACTGGGATGGACTGGGATAAACTGGGACGGACTGGGGCTATACTGGGATAAACTGGGAGCACTGGGAAGGGACTGGGGGAACACTGGTCTGTACTGGTCTGTACTGGGAAGGGACTGGGGATGTACTGGGATGTACTGGGGCTGTACTGGTGTGTACTGGTCTGTACTGGTCTGTACAGGTCTGTACTGGTCTGTACTGGTCTGTACTGGTCTGTACTGGTCTGTACTGGGGCTGTACTGGTCTCATATGGTCTGTACT